TAATTCGAGTATTTCTAATGCTTGCAAACCAAGAAAAGCCTCTGATTCAATCTTTAAAATTTCATTGTCGTAAAGGTAGAGTTTTGTTAACGATGCAAGGCTCATGAATATTCCATTTTTTAATACAGTTAGTTTGTTTCTTTGAAGGGAAAGGGTAAACAATGATACCAAATCTGAAAATGCACCACTTTCTATCTCTGATATTTGTCATGTCATCTCTTACTATTGTTATGTTCCTCTTGCTTAAGTTCATTTCTATGCCGTCTTGCAAGGGAGTCCCAGCTTTAATTAGAACACACACCAATAATAACACACTCTGAAATGATACAAATGGCTTCTAGTCAACTCGGACCCTAGTCAACGTGGACCCTACTCGGACCAAAGTAAATTCGGACCCTAGTCAAATTGGATATATTTTATTATATAGTTTGGTCATTTTAATAAAAAAAATTAAATATAAGCAATTTAAATCGAAATGAATCTTAAGATAAACTATAATTAAATGTGACACCTATTTGATACAATTATAAACCTTTTGTGAAATCAAATAGGATTAAAATGTACTAATTAAGTGGGGTCGCCAATATTATACAGTACATGTATGTGTTTATTTCTTATGAAATGGAATCAATGTCTATTTTGTCCAAAATCTGCAACAAAATATATTGATAATGATAACTGACTTTGTGGTTGACTTCTAAAGTGATTTTTCAAACCGGACTAAGAGGTATTTATATGTTTAAACAAAAAATGCATTTTTAAGTTTTGAACCAAACTATCCATAATTTTTTTCAAAATATTGTATTTTTATTCAGTTTTTTTTTTTATCAAAATAAATGTTTCTAATTGCTTTTGCAGTGATAATCAGAACTGACATCCTTGGATCTTTTTTTTTTAATTTTTAAACAGCATCTCTATGATAAAAAAACAATTACAAGATAATCCAAGACTGACATACTTACTTAGATCTTTTTGATTTCTTAAACAACACCTCTATAATAACATTGACATAGAAATAAACAAAACAATTATAGGATAATCCAAAACTGACATCCTTGGATTTTCTTGATTGGTAGCGATATGGCGACCGTTCAACTATGTTTCTCTCTTTAGCAATCATTGACAACAATCTTTAAAACAACACATCCTTTGCAATTTATATAAAGTAAAAATATACATACCTCCATAATTCTGGATGTCACTGGAAGTTAAATTGATGAGCGTCGCAAGAGTTTTCGATGCTAATTTCTATACTTTATATTATATATAATCTTCTGGAAAATTTAATTACAAAAAGTAATTGTTGTGTTGTAGAAATCTTTCCAAGCAACTGGGAAAAGTTCTTTTAAGTATTACATAATAGACTACAAAAATAGAAGAAAAGATTATTGAATAACTAAATCATTTTAGAAATATTAGTAATTCGTAACTTGAACTAGTAATTCAAGCACAATTTTATCATACGATATTGGATGAAGACAGTTCTCGTGCATCAAGATAATTTTTTTAAGTAATTGAAATCCCTTCTCAGCTGTTGCATATTAACATTAGATCGCGGTTGCTTTTATCTTTATAAGCAATTATTAATTCCAATGCTCACCTATCAAAATGAAAAGACAGTTTTCAGTTATTTTGACATCTGATTCATTATTAATAACAGAGCACCCCATATTGGAAACACCCATTGGGTTTAATATCGAATAACAAATCCAAAAATAACATTAGTGAGAATATTATGAGAGGCACTACAATAAGGCACTACGTTCGAAAAATAGAATCAGCTCTTTACTGGGGACATGGCGCGAACAATAATGAATGCATCAATTGTTACGAATATCACCACCTCCGAGTAAGAATATAGTTCAGAGAATCAAGAACGATCCAAACTGATGTTCAAAAAGATATATTGAATGTGTAATTTCGTAAAGTTAGAAGAATAGGTTCAGGGCTGCCTTTCTAGTTTCTTAAAACACAGATGCGTTGCGATCAAAAGAATATTAGCTTACAGAATAGGAGGAAGGCAACTGAGCAAATTCTCACCAATAAATGATTTTATGATACTTGCCGAACGATATGGAATATTGCACTTAATATATGACATGATTGACTCGACCACCTTGCCATCTAAAGACTTGTGGAAACAGAAGGTTGGGACAAAAATTCGAGATTATGATCTGAATCGATGGAGAAGGGAGGCGACTACATATCACAAGTTAAAGCTATACACGGACATTGTTCAAAAAGTCAAACCAATAGTATGGTGGACTATAGCCAGACAAGATGCTAGATATATCCGAAGATGCTCTCTTATGGTTCGACTACTCACCAGCCAAGGTAATCTGAGAGTAAACGTTGGAGAATGGGAGGGAATTCCAATGCGGGATAGACTTTGTGAACTGTGTCAGCATGAAGTTGAGACTTTAGAGCACTTTACGTTGTTTTGCCCAAATAACAATGAAAACAGGACCCAAATACAAATAGTGATAAACAGATATTTGAATGATGAGCACGTGACGACTTCTAACAAACTGAAATTGGTCTACGGAGGCGATGAGCGTGTCAGTCATGATGAACTCAAGGCAATGTCCAGTAATGTACGTGACATGTATATTAAAAGAACGGAGAAAAACTGAAATCCACATAAGAATGGTGGGAGTAGTGATCGGTTGCCGAGGATTTGATGTAACGATTTTCCTAATTAGTAAATAGGTTTAAGCAAAGATATTTTACCGATATGAGTCTATGTATATAGTTTTACCAAGATGAGCCTGTAATACACCTATGTATGTATTTATATTTACAATGAGATTTGGTTTGATAAATGATAGGTGGACAATATCTTATTGTAGCTAAAGGGTAATAGGTAAAGTGTAGGTTAACTGACGGCGTCAACGCGGTAGCCTGGCGTCCGTCAACAGCAAATATTAGGTGGAGAACTTGTTTTTCTTATTGTATGTAACAGATAGTAGTAACTTGACGGCGTCAACGCGGTAGCCTGACGTCCGTCAACATCAGGGATTGGTTGTAAATAAACATTTTAATTGTTTTTATTTTTGTATGTGTCTTTTATATGTATTGTAATAATCAATTATTATTATCTCCAAAAATGGAGGCGAAATAAATATAATAATAATAATAATATGTGTAATTCTTTACATTTCAAGATTCTCTTGTGATGTAAAAAATCATAGCTTTATTTGAAATGTCGAGTCATATTAATGAATGTGTCATGAATATGTCATGTTAGCAATCGCACTATCTATTGTATTGTATTGTATCTTTATTTCCTCCTTATAAGAAGATTTACAAATTTATAGAACAAAAACAACTTTAAAATTTACATATTACAAAGTACTGTAGTTCTGCAATTATCGCAGCGTTTCATAGTAAGTATCTATTTACACCTATTCATATAAAACATATATACGCGCATTGAATTAGCATGATTTAAAGAAAATGTCTATGTGTGCTAAGCCCCTTGCACACGAAAGAATGAACTCGGTAAATTGAGTAACATCGAGTTGAAAGTCAACTCTGCTGCCAAGTATATTGTTTCTAAGACTATATTTTTCTCCATGTCGAGTAATTTGACACAATTCTCTACGGACAGGGAGTTGAAAATATAGTTTTCAATGAAATCATTCTTTTCATTTATAAGTTCACCACATTTCATGAAATGTGTGACTATCGAGCCAGTAAAATCTTTGCAACGTTTACATTGATATAGCCTAAATCTTGCAGGTGTGGTCAAATACAATATGTGGGCTAATTCCCAAAGTTGCTCGGTAGCCTTTTGACCAAGTGTCCATAAAACCGAAGGTTCTATTGACAATTGTACATTCGAAAATAATGATAATGAATCATCCGCATTTACTCGGGCACGCCATTTTGTTTCTTCATTTAATTTTATTTGATTAGTACACATCATTTTAAATTTTACTTTGGTCATAAGTTGGCCAGATCTGAGAAAGTCTTGAATTGACTCCTGTACATAGTCATACTCCATTGACATGACGTCTTTAATAAGACCATTACAGATTTCATTTTTCTGAACTAAAAATGAGGAGAGTCTATATAGAAACAATTGTTTTGTGAAAACATGAGTGGCTCTGCATAGTCTATCAAAAAACAACACCTTTGCTCTATCTATATAACTCTCAATTGACAGTAAACCGAGCGTAGAGAGGACAACTTCCGATGAGACGTCTTGCTCAAATCCTTGTATTATTTTTGCAATTTTTCGAATGGTAACGTTAAGTGCGTGTAGTTCTACATTGGATGTTGTCCATAACTCGCAGCCGAACATGGCAGCGGGAAACACAATTGTTTTTAATAGCTTAACGGCAACAAGGGGGTTAATGCCACCTTTGCCAATACCAATAGGTTTGATGGAGTAAAAAATGTTGATCATTTTACGCTTAGCTTGTTGCATTGCTTAAATGTCAGTTAATTGAGCATCAAGTGTGTTTCCAGCGTAGCACTGCGTTCTGGTTTCAGGTACAATATCATCTTGCAAGTGCCACATGCGCATTCCTTGACTGTCTCTGAAATGTTTAGTACTTTCATTAAAAGTGATGATTTTACTTTTGCTGTTCTGACCAGAATGATATGACATTCTCCATTTTGAGCTATATTTTGATACACTATTTAATAATTTTTGGAGCTCATCTGGAGTTGTGCCAATAATTGTGGTGTCATCAGCCACCAGTACTGCAGGGATGCGTATATCACCTTTTATTGCACCCAAGCCTGTATCACATAGTTCTTCAATAAGAGCATAAATGTACACCAGGAACCAGAGTGCACTACTGACTCGACCTTGACCTACTCCCTGTGTAATTTGAAATTCTCTAGAGTACTTTCCATTATAAAGTACTCTGGAAGTGGTATTTTCATAACTATCGACAATTAAACGCCAACTTTTACCATTTAGCCCCAGATTAAATAGTTTGTGTTGGAATTTTATAAAAAAAATGTCAACTAAAATCAAATAATTTGTTCAAAACCATAGAGTAAACCATGTTGCTTCAACTTTATTACACTTTTTGCATTTTATTAAATATCATTACAACTAGGATATGAATAACTTCTCAACAGATTGGAATGTGCTCCCCCTTTATACAATGTATACCCCAATTTTGTTTATTTTAGTAGTATGTGTTGTCCCAATGGTTTCCCTCCAGACAATACTCGTTCCCGGACGGGGCCTTGTACACTGGATAACGTCCTCTCATGCGGTGGAAAGGGAAATTCTTCTTGATGTATTTGTCAAGGCAAGAGTTGAGACCAAGGTCAATCTTATAGCCATTCCAATGACTGTACGTACCCCCTGCGTGACCAATCTCAGTTCCACCGGTAACAATCACGGGACACCTTTAAAATTCATAAACATAATTTCTTTACAAAATATCCAATATTTATCAATCGTTAATTTTACATTCAACGATAAGTGGTACAAACTACGATTTGAAACGAAATTCCAAAGTGGCTCAGTATCAGCCCCGTAGCCGGGGGGGGCAAAAATTCTTTCAAAATCATGCAGTTTTTTACCATTTTGAGCACTTCTCAAGTGATTTTAGCCATATTTGGGCCAAAATTGTCAAATGTGTACCCCCCCCCATTGGCAAATCCTGGCTACGGGCCTGAGTATTATATATTTAGCTAACATTATGAAAGGGTGACTAAGATCACTTCATATATTACCTGCTGGGTTTTTTGAGCTCGTTGATTGTCCCTGTGATAGTTGCTCGTCTTATCTGCTCCAGACTCGTGCACGTGCGAACATTCCTATAATTCAATGCTCAGATAAATTTTATAGAAAATTGAACCCCAAATTTAAACCATTTAATATAATATTCATTTGTCAAAACTAAAAAATGATCAGAGAGCAAATTTTAAAGTTTATGAAAATCTTTTCACAAAAACGTATGGGGTTCTCATTTCAAAATAATTTCTCAACACGATAATTGAGAATTCTTCATTGCTCCGCCAGACTAATTGACATCGCACGCCTACCTTCTTTAAAAGAAAATTCTCTTCAACAAAATTCAATAATTGGTTAAAACCAAAATCTTGCCAAGGAGCTATGAGTAAATCAGCATTATATATCGTTTCACAACTGCATATAAACACACTGTTTCACAGCTGGAAGACTCCTACAGCAGTTAGCGTCATTCAAAATGGTTGCTAAAATTCTTTCGTTTTCCACAAACCTCCGATTTCAGATAAACTAAACTTCAATCTGGATTCCAAATGTTTCGCCATGTAAACTAATAAAGCTACAATTGTTAACAACCACAGATAAATACTCTAACAACCGCGTTATGGGTGAATTTTAAAGAAAACAGCTTCACTTAGAATGACTTTAACTGAAGCTGTCATCATCAATTTCAGTTAGAGTCATTCCAAGTGATGAAGCCGTGTATTTTCAAATTCTCTAATATTGCGGGTGTTTGGGCATTTATTTGTATTTTACAATTATAGTTTTATAAGTTTACTTGGCAAAACTTTTGGAATCAAGATTAAGCTTAGTTAAGCTCAAATCGGAGCTTTGTCAAAAACGAAAAAAATTCGGCAACCATCTTGAATGACGCTAACTGCAGTTGAAGTCAACCAGCTGTGGGACAGTGATACAGAGGGTTTAATTTTGTAATTTTCAAAACAATTGCAACCGATTTGTGTTCATACCTGTTGGAACATCTTCCGCTAGAGCTGGTACTTATGCCTGCTTGGGAGAGCATTGACGCAGCCTGGGAGTGGCTCAGCTTGTTGCCTACAAAGTACAAGTTTAGACGAATGAAGTTATCGGATTGTAGTTTGGTATCCAGAAGTCCCTCTTCGAGAGCCACATATCAAGGCGTGTTTTTGTTTATTTCATAAATCAATCAAAGTCATTAATGCAAGACTCTGAAATCGAAAACAAATATTATTCAGATAATTAAGCTTTACGTGATATCTAGTGGTTGCCAAACATGTAGGGGAGTGTGTTTAAATCCGACAGTGTGTAACTTTCTTAGAACATCAAATTATTGCACTGATTTCATCTAGATATACACCAGACAGCATACAATGGTGCTGCAACTCGAGATGGAGGTTCATCTCCTTTATACGCAGAATCTTCCAGGGCTTACCAGTCTCAGTTCCATATGTACACGTACGTACCATTGCCACTACTCTTGATGCAACAACGTCTACTCGTTTGGCCAGAACAGAGTCCAGTCCTCAATGACCCATCACAGGAAGTTGTCTGGCACTTTCCCCCGGCGTTAGTACATTGGGAGTCATCTACATTCATAAACATATGCAATACTACAATACTTGCTTTGATAAGGCAAGCTAAGGCTTACCTTGTATTCGCGAATGCAACTAACGCCCGTCGGCTACCGGATTAACCTACTTTGGGCAACTCATGTAAATGTGAATAGTATCGGCCACTATTCCAGTCATATTCAAATGAGTTGGTACTTCGAGAAATATATTAATTCAGTTTTTGATTTTTCGATTCGAATACACTGTGAGCATAAAAACGTTTGATAGAATTATTTCAAATTCCTCAAACCTCACCAATTCAGATTTGCTTCGATTCGTATCGCGTCATTTTGCTTATCGATACACTACGAGTCAAACACTTTAATTCAAAATTGCACACCCTCTTGAGTACATATTATGAAACTGAGTCACAGAATTCACATTTATACATTTGTTTTTGAACTTATATGTCAGATTGAACATTCTTTATGTGCGTAATTACCACCGACACAGCATTTTCTATTCACGGGGCCAGAGCACAGCCCAGATTGCCATGATCCAGAGCATCCACTCGTTTTGCAGCTCCCCCCAGCTGAAGTACATTTTCCGTCATTCCCTAGAACAACGATTCAAATATTGTTTATCATGCAATAAAGATTGGCTCCCAGAGTTCCAACTCGATATTTGGCCATATATGAATCCATGTCGTGACAAAATTCAAAATTAAACGGCCGTCATGTTTTCAATCCAGAAATTAAATCGCGAGTTTCGATCTCATATTTATTTCTGAACATATAATTCAATAAACACAAGAAGTGATCAAGATATTAGTTTAAACTTTTTGTATCGCTGAAGGATAGGTATCGATATGGTGAACTGAATGTTTTTGTCTTAAACCAATTTGAGAACATTCTGTAAAAAACATGGTACTTTATGTGAGGTTGACTGATTGGCAACAATTTAATGCAAAAATTATTTATATGTATTTTATATATTTTATGTAACTGTCTTTGTTAAAAAAATTGTTGTTTTAGTGCAACTGTTTTTTGTTCCTTTCTACGAATTCTTGAGAATGATATAAAATGTATTTCCGAACCTTGTTGGAACAAAATAGTATGCAACATTTTCCTCAGGCCTCTCAATAATATAGTTATGCAAAGGAAAATTTGGTTGATTTAGCAAAAAGTATGCAAAAACATAAAACAAAACCCTCCAAAATAAGATAAACATTTTATTTCATTAACAAGATACTTTTTTTAAAACCAATCAAACTTTCCTTTGAACAATTATAATATTGGGAGACTGTAATATAAATAAGAAGAGAAATTTACTACAAGGGCTAAATTGCCTCAATACCAAGTTATTTTAAAGTTTACTTGAGTTTTGAAAGGGCTAATTATGCTATAGAGGCCAAACTGGTCAGTTGAGCCCAGGTTGTCCACATGTAAAGACATAGGCAGTTGAAGATTAGTTTTAGATATAATTTTAGGTGTGCACACTTTAGATAAGTTAGATAATCAAGATAAGTTACAAATTACAAACGAAAGAAACATCTTACCAACAAGGAGACAAGAACAACATGCTAAGGTAATCTTTCGTTCACATGGTGGCAGCGAAACAAAGAACAACGTCTCGAAGAAGAAAGAAGAATTTCCGAAAGAAAGAAGAATTTCGAAGAAGAAAGAAGAATTTTGCAGTTTGGTGAGAACACTTATTTTCTCCAATTTTCAAAAGGACAGTTAGGATTTTGATAACTTGAATTTCAATTCTATGTTAGGGCTCAACTCAATTTATAGAAGTTTAGATGTTTAGAAGTTTAGGTAGTTTTGCATATTCTAGAGGTGCAATTTGTAGACGTTATTTTAATAGAAGAGCAGTTACTAAAATTTGCAATTTATAGATGGTCCCAGAAGGACAATTTCTTAGATGTCAGTTTATAGATGCTCATTGAGGTAGAAGTTGATTTTCTAGAAATGTTATTTTAGAGGTGCATTTAGACGTGCATTTAGATGTGCATTTAGAGGTGCAATTAGATGTGCATATAGAGGTGCATAATTTAGAAGTTATTGAAGTTAAGCATTATAGAGGTCTCTATGGTAAAAGTTCATTTATAGAGGCAATTTTGAAGTACATTCCAGAAAACTGCAATGTGTAGTCTCAATTGAGATTGATTTTAGAGGTTAGATGTTCATACAAGTTAGATTGCAATATTGATAGTTATTACAGGTCCTATAGTACAGAGTTGCTAATCCAAGTAGCCAAGTTTAGTGCATAAGTAGCCAAGTTTAGTGTAAAATTAGCCAGCTTGAGTGTTCAGATTTCAACGGCACTGTTGAATTTCAAACAGCATTAAAATTACCTTGTATAAGATTAGGTATTGAGATCTCAGTCATTACATTGAATTTCATGAAATGTGGTGAAAAGGTGTGAAATGAGTTTAGTGTTGAGATTTCTTACTGATTTTTGCAGGCAGGCTTATTGACCACTTAAATAGAATTTTTAAGTGAGTGATACATTTTTAATTTACATTGACTTTATTAGAAGGTCATAATGACTCTATTCACATCAATTGAGTGAGTTTGAATTCATGCAGAGAAAAGTTTAGCCTTTGAATTTAATCAATTAGAATTACATAATACATTTGGCTAGACTCAAATAAAAACAAATTGCATAATGCAAATGTAAATAAACAAACTGTACATATCTAAAGTACATGTACAATTTATTCAATTGGATTTTGAGAACATATTTGATTGAGACATATGATTGATTTTATTTCTCAATTCTGTGTGAATAGAGCAAGTTTATTTATGTAAGGGTATAAGGAATGCCCGATACTAGAAACAAAACATACGATTCATTCGAAGATAGACAAAAACAAGCCAAGAAGAAGAAGAAACCAAACACAATGTCAACAGAAAAACAAGAATTTTATGAAGCTGATGAAGAAGGGGCTCAAGGAGATACCATGGACCCAATGAAACAAATGATGACAATGATGGCTGCTATGATGAAGAATAGTGAAGCTGAACGTCAACATCAACATATGATGATGGAACTTCAACTTAAGGAGCAGCACAACATGTTAGACGCAGAAAGACAAGAGAGATTGAGACAAGAAAGGATCCACAGAGATGAACTTGAAGAAGAACGACGATTGAGAGCTGAATTAAGACAACAAGAATTGGAGTTCAGAAATAAGCCGAAGGATCCACAAATCCAGAAGATGAAGGATGGTGAAGACATTGAGAACTATCTTACAATATTTGAAAGAACTGCAGAGATGTGTGGCTGGAAAAGAGAATACTGGACTCTAAAATTAGGACCTAATCTCACTGGTAAAGCACAGTCTGCATATGCAAGTGTTGCCATTGAGGATGCCAGAGATTATGATGTTGTAAAAGAAGCCATTCTTCACAGATACTCCATCAATGACGAAACCTACAGAAAAAGATTTAGAAGTTTAAAGAGAAACACTGGTGAAGGAGTTAAAGCTTTTACAATCAGATTAGAAGACACCTTTAAGAAGTGGATGAAACATGCTGATACAGTCGAGAAAATTAAAGACAGAATTTTGAAGGAACAACTAGTTAACACTCTTTCACTTGATGTCCAGACTTGGGTGAAAGAAAATGATGCAAAAACAACAGATGATGTGGTGAAACTAGCTGACAACTTTCTAGAAGCCAGGAAAAATGACCCTCCAGTATGGAACAAGAGTCCAACCTTCAAGAGGAAGAACAAGACAGATGGCGCTCACACCAATTGCTTTAACTGTAATGAGCCAGGGCACCAAGCGAAGACTTGCCCTAATGAAACACTTTGTTTTAAATGCCATAAAACTGGGCACAAATCTGATTGTTGTAAATCAGAGAACAGAGCTGATAATAAAAGTTCTGTTAAATGTGACAATTGTGACAAGGCTCATCCCACGGAAAATTGTATGGTAGACACGTCCCTTAAGTGTGAAAAATGCAATCAATATGGTCACGTCACAGCTAAATGCTATGTAGGAAATAAACGCAGTTTCTTATGCAGAGCAACTGATGATATACCTACAAAATACTCACGAAGAAGCAACGGAACAGTTTTGGCAGTGCTTAATGATGAAGAGATTGAAATGATTTGTGACACGGGAAGCTGTAAAACTATTATACGCAGGGATCTCATTGACCAAGATGCAATCATACATAATGATCAAATAAGAATGACATGTGTTCATGGAGACAGCAAGACATATCCTACAGACTTGACTTTACAAGATGTTGCTGCTACACTTAAGTTAGTCAAGAGACCCCTAAAACGAGACCTTGATGAGAGGCAATTATTTCCTAATGGATAGTCCAAGAAGTGACATAAAGTGATAGTGACACTTAGTAGAATTGAATTTGAGATTTTTATAGAAGAATTATATTTTATTTTGGAAAAGCCATCCAAAATATTTTATCACTGTAAATAGCAGAAGATTTATAATTTATACAGCTTGTCTGAGTAACGACAAACTTAAGAAGGGGGGAGATGTAATATAAATAAGAAGAGAAATTTACTACAAGGGCTAAATTGCCTCAATACCAAGTTATTTTAAAGTTTACTTGAGTTTTGAAAGGGCTAATTATGCTATAGAGGCCAAACTGGTCAGTTGAGCCCAGGTTGTCCACATGTAAAGACATAGGCAGTTGAAGATTAGTTTTAGATATAATTTTAGGTGTGCACACTTTAGATAAGTTAGATAATCAAGATAAGTTACAAATTACAAACGAAAGAAACATCTTACCAACAAGGAGACAAGAACAACATGCTAAGGTAATCTTTCGTTCACAGAGACCTAAACACATGCATTGTGCTTATGTCGTTTTGTTCCAATGAGGTTCGGATAGATGTTTCATTTCATTCCGAGCATATGAAACCAAGAACAAAAGAAGAAGTGTTTGATGTAATTTCTAAAACAATATAGAGAAGAGGATATATATATATTTCAGATTATAATGTTACCATCCAAAAGCACTGGTACTCACCTAGTTACGCTGACGTATCGTTTTCGTAGGACTGGCAAGAACGGGTAAAAACTAGTTTGGTGTGATAGGGGGGTTAGGCCCTATGGCGGATCCGGGGGGGGGGCATGGGGCCCGCCCCCCCCCCCCCTAAGGTTGGCCCAGAAAAAAAAAGTTGGGCCCAAAAACATTTTAGGCCAAAGAAGGCCTTAAGGCCCAAAAAGTGGGCCTTTTGGTCATTATTGGGCCTTCTAAGGCCTTATTTTTTAATTTTAGGCCAAATTTTGAAGAAAATGGGCCTCAAATTTTTTTTACGCGCAAGCACAGAAACTTTTTCTCTGATCTCAAATTTATCCTTGGTTCCTGGATCCGCCACTGCAGGCCTATATAGAACATCTGACCCAGAAATGTGGGATATGTAGAACAATGCTTATTGTGTTATATCCAATTATACTTTACCACTGTTTTCTACACAACATCTTCTATTTGCGGCGCCAGAGCATAGTCCAGTTTTCCATGATCCAGAGCATCCGCTCGTTTTACAGTTCCCTCCGGCTGATGTACATTTACTGTCCCCAGAATTTACTAAATCATAGAAACATATAACACGTGGCATCGTCATGCTAACGCAATACACGTTAAATCAATATCCTCTTGCCTTTCTTTTACTGTTTCTGACACGTTGATAAAACGTCTTCATTTTGAATATGATCGGTATAAATCAAAATGAACAAACATGGATTCCACTCGGACAGTTTGTAGATGATTTATGTCTGAAGCGTCTTCTCTTGTTTTGAAGAATTCTTTTTTAGATATTGACGTTGCCACAAAAGATTAAGTAGAATATGGGTGAGAGATTTACATGCATTTTTTACATACTGTTAGGCTTATATGCAAAGTTTACTCTAATTTAACATCACAAGAACATAATATCTCATTGGCAGAATCAGATCTATGGAATGACAAAATTGAAAGCAACATGAACAATTGATTTCGTTTTATAAAACCAATTTATTTAATTATATTCCTATCAATGTCAAATAAAATATCTCCTAAAAGATCAACAATATGGTATATTCAAATTATTCAAGATTAAAAGTGCAGATATGAAGAAAAATATTCGGTTCTCCTAAATAATAAAAATGGTGACCATATGTATTTAAAAAGAAATAGACACTATATTGTACAAACATACTTATTTGTACAAGACAAGTAATGATATAAACGAGAAATATTCTAAAATTGAAACATTAAACGAATAATCTTCATTAAAAGCGATACGACTAAACAGACCATGCGTACCATCGAAAAGCCAGGCATCGATATTCAAGAGACATGTTCCTAGGATACATAATCCTAGAGCATACTTCACTATCATTATTGCTCGCTCCTTAAAATAGTCTGAACTTCTTAAAACCGAAATGTGTTATGAGTCAAATTTATCGTTGCAGGGAGGTCGTGGGTTCTGGCCATGTGAGTTCCCCGTGTTTACATAAGTCTTATGTCATCATTATAAAATCAGATATATATTGGTAGATACGATTATTTACTGATTATTTACTGATATGATCTATGTATCAGGATATTACAATCTAGAGATAGACGAAATGTAATATACGTGTACACATCATACATGTAGTAAACCATACATTACAAACCGCCTAGTAATACATTAAAAAGAACTAGATGACAGTAACGCTGAAGCGTAGCAAATCCCATCGAACAGCCATGACTGACATGTTTTACAAAATCCTTCTACTAGTTTTTCAGTTATGGCAAAAATGGTAAAATAACACACATGAAAATGGCCATTATATTGAGTGTCTCAAAAAGTGCATCACTTTTTGCGAAGTATTTTCTCAGCAATTAATTTAATAAATTTATTGAGAATATCCAAAGCCTTGGCGTATCATGAACTAGTGATACAAATATGAAAGAGATCAGTCGCATATTGTGTGAGTAATGATATGCAGTAAGGTTACTATTGAAAACTGTTTCAAAGTGAAAGGTTTGGGAGCAAGATCAATTGTAAAGGAATTAAGATTTAGTGTCATGTTACTATAAATTATTATGGACAGAAATGCACTACATCCAACATGCATAATTAAAGGATGGGATAATTATGTTATTGGAGGAGATAAAGCGATGGAAAATACACAATAAAGCGTTTCTGCTTGGAAAAACAGTTTCTCTCAGACTGAAATAAGTGGCTTTTGCAGTGATATTGGATTTTTTGTCATTTCTCACATAATGCGTAATCGATCTCTTTCAAATCTGTACAACTAGTAATTTTCAACAAATTTGAATCATCAGTTGCTGAGAAAATACTTGTCAAAAAGCGATTCACTTTTTTGGGACACCCGATAAATATGTGTGTTTTGTAACGTTGAGGTGCAGACATCTCACATAAGTGATAAGGTTAATATCTTGAATGCCTAGAGCGACAAGAAAATAAGTCAAGAAGTTCTCCAAATATAGATCCAGTTGAAAAAGTAGCGTCGACATAGTAATACTTATCTCCTTGCATCAGGTTATCATTTTAACAAAAATAACAAACTTTGTACCAACTACATGAATGTATGAAAAAATATTTTATATTCATATATTTTTTATCATTACATAATAGTACATTTCTGCTTATTAAAGTGGTATTGACGTCCATTTAAAGGATTATATTAACCATGGAGGCTCCAAACAGATCGGGGTCATGTACGATTATTTCCTTCTTGAATTTTCTGTAACCCTCTGCCTCAACCTGGAAACAAATTATATCACTGTAGAGAATCAAATCAAAATTGTGTCATTTTAAATGGCCTGAAGAAAATAAGTTAAGAAGTTAAGTTAAGATGTTGATATCCAATATCGCCATCCATCCGGTCGATACTGAACAAATATTTCACTCTATTGAGGTGAATACCTGTACATCTTTCATAAGTGATATTCCACGAAGCCCGAAGGGCAAGTGGAATATCACCTTGTGAAAGTGCTACAGGTATTCACCGAAAAAAGAGTGAAATATTTGTTTTATTATATCACTGTCTAGCTAAACATCCCTAATATTATTAAGTCATAGGTTAACATTGAAATACATACGAATCTACTCGGTTCGTCTGCCATTTTGACTTACACTGAACTAAATTATTTACACTGAACGAAAACAAATTCTTTGAAAATTCCCGGGAGCGTGGGATATCGCTAGATATCTCACGGTTGTCTTATCTGATTAGCATTGTCATTGAATATCGCCAGATATCCCACGACATGTGACCCGGTTTTGACTTATCATACTGTCGCTAGCTAGATAGCGATATAATAATGCTCGTTATTATATCACTATCTAGCTAGCGACAGTATGATTGGTCAAAACCGGGTCACATGTTGTGGGATATCTGGCGATATTCAATGGCAATGCTAATCAGATAAGACAACCGTGAGATATTTATAGGATATCCTATGATTTTGAGGAATATCATTTTTATCTACGAGGTGATATTGATATCTGCACGAGAGAGCGAAGCGAACGAGTGCATATATCAATATCACCGAGAAGATTAAAATGATATTCTGAAAAAAATCATAGGATGTTCTTATTATCCTACACTTACAAGGAGTGTAGTGAATGTATAATATCATTGTAAAATTAATTCCATGCCAAATAGAGTCAATTTGGCGGGAAATCAACAAGCGGAGTATATCGTCACAATATCCTCCGCATATTGGGTTTTCCGGAGTATATCGTCATGATATCCTCCGCCCGGAGTATATCGTTACGATATCCTCCGGATATTCATTTTGCCAATAAATATCAAATTTATTTTTTCATGTTATTATACATTTAATACACTAAGTGTAGGATAACTAGCGATATCCCACCCTCCCGGGAATTTTCAAAGAATTTGTTTTCGTTCAGTGTAAATAATTTAGTTCAGTGTAAGTCAAAATGGCAGACGAACCAAGTAGATTCGTAAAAATATATATATTTCAATGTTAACCTATGACTTAATAATATCAGGGATGTTTAGCTAGACAGTGATATAATAAAACAAATATTTCACTCTATTTTCGGTGAATACCTGTAGCACTTTCACAAGGTGATATTCCACTTGCCCTTCGGGCTTCGTGGAATATCACTTGTGAAAGATGTACAGGTATTCACCTCAATAGAGTGAAATATTTGTTCAATATCAATATTCAATATCAAAGAAATGACCTAATTTGCAGTACATCTCCACTCTATATGTTTGACAATCGAAGGCAATCAGTGGATCTATAGAATGTAGAGCGAGCTCCCGAAGTTAGTTTATTTCTTAAAAAACAGCAGTTTTGATACGTCGTCCAAAAACATATGCCCAATGAGAAATGCCCTTACCCTAATGGTATATGTCCCTGGCAGGAGAACTCTCCAGTATTCACCCTTTGATGTGCTTGTGACTGGATGCTTTCTCTTATCTATGTATACTTTAGCATTTGGCACTGGGTTTCCCTGAGAGTCTGATATAATACCCTTAATTCCTGCAATGTAAATGGGTATTTTCGCTTATCTATATGAATTGTAATAAAACCCACACCTTACAATGTTAAACCAGTTTATATTTGTAGCTGGGTACTTTATCATGTTTTCAATACATTAATTGATATCACAATATACTTTAACAGAAATTATTTAAACTATCAAAGATCTACCTCTGTGTACGAACTTCCATGAGTTGAGAAAAGATGGAAGATTTTCGTGCCAAAAGTCTTCCATCGTGATATATGGTGGGAATTTACAACATTCCATCTCAATTGTGATTGCAAGAATTCCATAATTAACGTAGTTGTAATCTTGCATTCCTCCTTTGAAATAATTTATATATCATATTTACAACATTCAGTTTATATGGCGGTTGCAAGAGCTCCGTAGTTGACGTTTGTAATACTCTATGAGCCAGGACACGGGAAAAGGGTCTTATCACTATGATTTTCTCAATATTTAGATTTTTCTTTATCTTTAAAAGCCATGCTTATGTCTTAACAATTTTACTTGCTTTCCTCTTGTACACTAATAAGGATCTTTTACATATTATATTATCATTAGTATTGGAAATATCTCTTTAGTTGTTATTCATTGTGTTTAATGTCTCCAGTGTGAAATATTTGTCGTATTTTTGATTTTGGGATTGTGATAACGATTTTTGAAAGGTCAGATGAGAGTGTTACACATGCTTATCTATGTCTACCTATATAGGTATGTTATGGTTCTTGTCTGCAAGTATCATAACAGTTTTTATGTGAACCAATAGGATTCCTTGGACAATTGGGGTTGGAAGCTATAGCTAGGAACTTTCCCTGGCACCTCACTTTGGACCAGTACATTAAAGACACAAGAGTACATTAAAGACACAAGTTCTGTTAGACAATTTTTCAAATAAAAAATTCAAAATTTAAAATTCAAAATTTAACGGAGACCTTAGGATACAAGTAAGCAGAATTTTAGGACTCCAGGAAAATATAACACGGTTAGTGATTTATTCAATTATTGACTTATGATGTCAGTATGAAGGTTTTGCTTTTGGGACATTCTTTTGTACCTCGATTAGAAGCATATATTGAATCTGAAGCTGATTATAAAATCAACAGTAGTTTTGACATTTCTTCAATAGACACTAAATTTGTTCATGGAGGTTCAACAATATTAAAGATAAGTAAAAGACTTCATCACATAAGGCAATGGTTGCCAGAAATAGTTATATTACAATGTGGAGGAAATGACATTTCCAATGGTTCTAGGCCTGAAAAAGTCGGATTTGAAATTTCAGAATTTGCGACAAAACTTTTATCTTTGGGAGTTAGACAAGTAGTTATCTGTCAACTCATTAGCCGTTTTAGACTAAGATCAACCAGCAAACTTGATGTTAAGTCATACAATAAAAATGTCTCAATTGCAAACACTTATTTATATCACATCTGCCAAGTTGAAGATAATATTTTATTCTGGCAACATGATGGATTTAGAAAGGCTGAGACTCCAAATATGGACTATTATTGTGATGATTTGGTGCACCTTAGTAACAGTGGAAATAGGAAATTATACAAGAGTATAAGAGGTGCTATATTGTTCCTGAAAAATAAATTGCAATAATGTAAGTCAGTTTTGGGTCTCAGCACTTTTTTATTAAGTCAGTTATTTACTTGCTAAATATGTAGATTACTGTTACTTTGTTGATAAAATAATTTGGACTAACAAGTTATGTAATATTTTGACATGTTATTGCTATCGATCATACCATGCCTTGCTGTATAATTTCTTTAGACCAATGGGAGCAACTTATTGGCATGCACATTGTGCAACAGGGCTTGAAGGCCTATATTGATTATTTATCATATAGACATTTTGTCTACATATTGCCCTACCGGAATGGTTTTATTGCCTTGGGAACAGTGCCCTTGTGGAAGGGATGGGCCATAAATACTACGTATTTGTCCATAAATGTTCTGCCCTTTGCGTCGATTTACTTGTGTACTGCAAGTGCTATGACCAATCCTAACATACATTTTGCTATATCTAATGCATATATTTATTTTACCATTAACTGCACTTTTCCAGAGGTGTTGATGGAATGTATATATAAGAAAATATTACTGCCACAATTTTATTTGTTTAAGGAGATGAGTGGACGTGGCAAAGGACGGAAGCCTAGACGTGGCAGATCAGCAGCCAGACGTCTTTCCAGTGCGGGGACGCAGAGTGGCGATGAGCCTGCCCCTAAACGCCCCAGACAGGGGAGCAGCTCTAGTACAGCCTCGGGGAATAATGCGATGGGCAATGGTACAGAAACTCTAGCGTCGGACAAAAATGCCAAGGACACCCATCCAGAATATGTCACAAAATCAGAACTCAAGAGCATCATTCATGAGGCAATTGCAGAGTTCGCAGAAACAAGAGAAAGTGTATCTGAAGTACTCGACAAAAATGAAAAAACTGTTGCTGAGGAATCTGTTGGTAAGATAACTCAGGGGCAAGGGGAGCAAAAGCAATCATATGTAGAAATAGAGTTACCTTTGGATGCAAGGGTGAGTCTCAAATTGAGACAAAAAATACTAAATGGGGAATTCGTAGAATTTTCTTCCCTTTTAAAAAATGAGATGCATGAGAAACATCAGCTCTCTATAAAACACAATGATGAGGGGGAACCTCAGCTTTATTTTGCTCCTCCTGCCTCAAAGAAAGTGTTGTCATTTGGGGAATGGCAACAGGCATTCAGAATATATTCAACAATACTTACATCCCAAAATGCCTCCATCGCATGTGACCTATTGAAATACAATGATACAATTGTCAGGCTCATGCGGATGGAGGGCAACTGGTATAAGTACGATGAGGAATTCAGGATGTTGAAGGAAAAAAGGCCTGATATGCCTTGGGGTAATCTACATAATGAATTGTTCATTGTAATGTCAGCTCAGAAAAAAGATAAAAATGTAGCTTCTCAAAAGCAAAATTTTAGGCATCAGCAGAAGGGTCAGAGAGGGCAATCAAAGAAAGAGAAGAAGTATGGTTTTTGTTGGAATTGGAATGAGGGGTCTAATGCATGCTTGTCATCCTTGTAAATTCTTACCCCATAAATGTTCAACCTGTGAAGGTAATCATAAGGCGATAAATTGTCCAAAGTCAAAGCCTCAGGCTCATAGTGGTTCTGGTTCTTTTCGAAGTAAAACAAAAGAGCAAATTTAATCATGAGCAAATTGAGGATGATTTATTGAGCTTGGAAACTACATCTGTCTTATCAACACCAATTAAGCCAAGTGTTTTGTTTCAATATCTTGAGGGCTATGATGAAAGATCCAGATATTTTCTTTTTCATGGTTTCACTAAAGGATTTGACATTATGTGTAAGGAATCAAACATCAAAATCGGCACAAATACACAAAATAGTTCAAATCTCAAATCAGCCAATGACAATGAGCATTTGGTCTGGGAAAAGTTAAATAAAGAAATCAAGGAAAATAGAATTTCTGGTCCTCATGATATAAGTGAAAGAATGATAGGTAGTATTTTTGTAAGTCCACTTGGGTTAGTTCCTAAAAAGGATCCAAATAAGTTCAGACTCATTCATCATTTGTCATTCCCATATGGTCAATCAGTTAATGATATGATAGATGATGAATATTGTTCAGTGCAATATGCAACGATAGATGATGCAGTCAACTTAGTAAGGATACATGGCAGGGGTTGCTATCTGAGTAAAACAGACATAGAAAATGCATTTAGATGTTTACCAGTTTCACCAGCTTGTTACAAGTATTTATTCATGAAATTTCGAGGGAAGTACTATTATGATAGAAATCTACCAATGGGATTGAGCATTAGTTGCAGGCTGTTTGAAATCTTCAGTTCAGCATTGCAGTGGATTGCCCTTGCAAAAGTGCAAGTTCATGGGGTCATCCATATCTTGGATGATTTTCTTTTTGTTGCATCTTCATCAGACCAATGCAAGCAAGATCTTGAGGGTTTCATTCAGACTTGTAAACAGATAGGAGTTCCCATTTCCAAGGAAAAAACATATTATCCAGAAACAACTCTATCATTTGTGGGAATTGAGATAGATTCAAAAGATTTTTGCCTTCGTATCCCGATTGATAAAGTTGATAGGTGTATTCAGAAGATCAATGAATTATTAGAAATGAGGAAAATGGGAAAGAAAGCTAAGCTAGTTCAGGTCCAATCTGTCATAGGTCTGTTGAATTTTTGTTGCAAGGTGATACCAAGTGGTAGATGTTTTCTCAGGAGGCTTATTAACAGCACAGTAGGCAAAACAAAACCTTATCACAGGGTAAAGATAACAGCCAGTGTTAAATTAGATCTTGAGATGTGGTTATGCTTCCTGGAAGATTTCAATGGAAGTGCAATATTCTTAGATAACAATTGGATCAGTTCTGATCGTCTCTCGCTATTTTCTGACTCAGCGTCCACAAAGGGCTTTGGTGCTTTGTTTGGCAATCATTGGTTTTATGGTCAGTGGAATTCTGAATGGTTGGGCTATATAATATAGCAGAGATGGAATTATACCCATGCCATCTATTTTATGTAAAATAAAATTTTGAAGCTTTAAATAAAAGTTCACTGTGGCCGTCATGCCATCTATTTTATGTAAAATTAATTTTGAAGCTTTAAATAAAAGTTCACGCCAGTGAACCTTAGCACCAACAGATATGATTTATCTTTTGTTTCATTCTATTATACTGGTGGTGAATATAAATGTATATTATGGTAGATGTATCTCGTTTTAGGGTATAGATGAACCATACGCATCGAACCTGAGCTGATATCAACGTACCTTTCACATAGAACCACTTTGCACCATTCGTTATTCCATCGATGAAATTACCCATGTAACAGAATGCTTTAGAGAGTACTTCCCCAGCGTACATTCGTCCGTGGCTGTAAGAGTAGGTTAGCGCCATCTGTCGAAAGATATCATCATCCGGGGATTTGCTGTACTTAAAGACGTCATTAGATTCCGATTTACGCGTGCGTTCTATAAACGAATTATTTTAATCAATGCAATGATAATATACGTTTATTAATCGTTATGAAAAAATCATATTTGACAAAACATTTTCTTCATCCTAGGGCTTAGTGAATGCGATAAATGATTATGTTACGAACTCGATGAAACACAAAATTAACAAGAACATTTATCGTACTGTTGTCATAAGGGTAGCTTGCCACCATGGCTCCTCCGTGGAAGGATAGAGACATAAGAAACGGATAATCCTCGAGCCATTTCTTCACTGCTTGTGTTTCTTTTGCAGGCTTTGGTCTGTACTTCTTTTCAAAATACTCGGGTCCAAAATTTCTATTCAGATCCACTTCGTTTGGCTCAGTAGTGTTTCTAAAATATTGTATTTAGTTAATACATTTTATCTTCTTATTACAATTCCATCAAAACAATATATTTCTCTGAACAAAGGGAAAAAACAAAGAACCTTAATGTAGCTACTCTGAAAAAGTCAGTGTTTTCCATGATGTGCGTAATATGTTAAAAGTAAAAGGAATAGAAATGTTATATGGTGAGTGACAATTTAATTTGATTTAAGACTTTGCAAAAGTACTTTTAATAGGGATTGTCTTATTTCAGCATTATTTTGCTTTGCTCTTCTTTTGGTGGAGTAATACCACATATTCAAAAGAAGTGAGGATAGAGAAGAGAGCAAATGAGCATAGTTAATGAGTATGATTATACGCAAGATGAGATAAACCTCCTCATTTTCAACACCAGTAGAAATCAATATCTTGTTTCAAAAATACAAGATTGTCAGATGAAACTATGGAAATGTTAAAAATTCCTTCTACCTTCCTTCTCCGTTGCCGAGACATGCGTTTATAATGTTGTCAGTATCGCTTGTATCTGTGTTTTCCGTATAGCCCTTGGTATAACCGTCCGGGTTTAACATTGGAAGTATATGCAATCGTGACGTATTCATAAGTTTTGTAATTGTGTCATCCTTGCCGAAGTTCTGCCCTAGATGTGCCAGAAAACGGATCAAGAGCTGTCCACCAATCGGCTAAAATCATTTTCACAAAGATATCGTACAGTTTATAGTGCTTTTTTAATGCTAATAAATTACCATCGTGGTTATGCGTATATAAATACAGGGTGGACCAAAAAAATAGTACCTAAGTTTAAAGATGAATGATTCATATGATATATCTTAAACCATGCCATGTATTATATGGCATATTGAAGATAAATCACGTTCGTACAACATGGCACCCTCCGACTGAACAACTTTCGTTTTCTTCAATGTGCAGTTAGAGGCTAACATTTACACCAGGGTTGTCATGAGCGACTAAAATCAAAAATTTAAATTCCCTGATTCCCTTCATATTGCAGTCAAAGCTGCACTGAATATGTTTGACTGAATCATTATAAATGGAGTAATCCATAGTTCATAGTTGATTTAAAATATATAAGTATCATTGGTGAATTTTGCACTAAACTTGTATAAATGTACCTTTATGAAGGTGCCAAAGTTCAAATTACCCTCCATTTCCATAATTTGGAAATTCGCAGTGAATAATTTTAGTCGCTCATGGCACCCCTGGTGTCAATTTTAGCCTTTAACTCCACAAAAAGCAACCGTTTCCAATCGGATAGTGTCATATTGTTTGGAAATGACTTACTGTATCTTTAAAGTGATATAAACATGGCATGACATTCACCTTTAAACGTTGGTATTGTTTTTTGCCCCCCTGTAGATTACAGGGATGATTAATAACTCCAAACAGCAAAGAGTCCATACATCAGTGGATCGCTAAAATTACCTCCCTCGTATAGAATTCATTTAATTCAATTAACTAGCTACAATTCAACTCAATTTATTCCATATTTATAGAACAATAATGTACAATAATAAATATTGTAGTAAATAATGAAAATACAAAATAAATACATTTTATCAAAAAAAAATTCTTACCTCATTACCATGTATTCCTCCAACATACTTCATCTCTGGCCTCAACAACACATGCTCATCTGGTTTATTGGCGCTAACAGCCATTACCCAGATTTGTTTACCCTCTCCTGATTCGCCAATAGAATACATGGACATCTGGGAAGGATACTCCTTTGCCAAATCCTTCAATATGCCTACCATTTCATCATAGCTAATATAAGTTTTGCGACTTTTTATCGACTTCATAATATCACTCTCTCTGGACTTGTCTAAAGAAGAAATGTATGATTAATGTTCACCGGGTATTGATTATCCCTTGTCCAAACTTGGTGTGAAACATAATCTCCATCACATGATTAGGTAAAAAAATTATTGAAAAGTTATGACTTTCCGTGTCAATATAAACAAAAAAGAGCAGGAAATGATCATTTATTAAAAGCATCAAAGTCATAAGTTTCAGATTTTTTGTAATTGAAAAACAAAAAGATTCAAGCAGGCTTTGGTGTAATCTCCGGTAACAACTTTCACGACTTTTAAAACATTTCCAAGATAATTGCAATTGATAATTTGGGCCATATATCCATTGATGCAATGCTAAGCTTTAAAACTTGGTTTCTTAATTCGACAACCACAATTTTCATGATTAATTACTACATATACGTTTACAGGGGCATCCCATAGTATGCCATTCGAGTTGTAGACAGATTTAACAAACGCTTTTTGATAAATCATGAAATAAGTGGCTAATGCAAGTTTAAGACATCGAAGTCTATGGTAGCCTGGCCCAACCAAAACAAGGAAAACAAGGGGTGACTTCTATAATACCAGCTTTATTCAGATATATAGAAATTCCCTTATTCCCATATATCACTTTGCAGCATTTTATTGTTTAGTAACCTCTGCCAGGACCAGCGTGCTAGTTATTTGGGAGTTTAAGCTTGCATTATAAAATCGAAACGCCAATCTATACGTACAAGATATGACCGATCACCCACACAAATGCATCACATAAATATTTTCCGTTCACGTTTAGGTTGTGAAAAACATTGCAAGTTTAAACTCCTATATTATCATGGGATAGGATCGTAAGATTTTTCCGCTATGGGAATCACGGGATCGGACTAAGGAAAACTCACAATTTATTTTCTAATTAAGATTTCATAGCTTAATTCAAAATACAATCACACAGAGTGCTTTAGGACAGATGAAAAATTTTCACTTCGCAACAGAGGATATATATAGCCCATTAAGGTACTTAACGATAAATAGCAATAAAACATTTTCATTGTCTTAGAGAATGACGGCATGATCAGATTCTTCTATTTCCGTTACGTGTGCTGCTCGTACCCGATTAAAATCATAGGTGAGTATGGTGGTAGAAAGGAAGAGAAACGGTTTATTTATATAGCGATTAGTAATTGCATGTAGTATGTAAACTATCTTGTAAAAATGGGAATAATTTTCCCAAAAAGTCCTGAGATCCCCACGCAAATTTCTGTTTATGGGCGTGGTTGCAAGTTGTGCATATTACATTTTGAGATGGAACATAGGGATCAATAGCAATAGCAGGTACCCAGATGAGGGTGTGTTGAAGTACTTGTAACACATGATGAAATAAATAAATAATACTAATAGCATTAATTTGCCTAAAAGCCTGTAATTTCCGCGATGTGACAGTCACATGACGTACGATTACGAGATCATATAATTGCATTTATGTTTGATACAACGGTTAGTTCATCTGTTCGATTTCAATACAACATGAACAAGCTCTTAAGGGACCAGGCAACGACAATGTGATGTCGCAAAATTCGACTTCTCAACGTATAAAGTTCTGGAATGCGTTATTTTGTGGTGGCACATTTTTGTCACACGAATACATGAAGAATGAACGATAAGTATAAATATACGCAATAATAGATACAATGACAAACTTTACAGTAAACGCATTTGCAACACTTGAAGAAAAAATAATCAATGGACTTATTGCGGGCGTAGGATTTGTCGGAAATCTTTTGGTTATATTTGTTTTTCTCAAGTCTGGACAATTTCGAAGAAAACTAAATAACATGTTAATTATACATCAAAGCATAATTGACTTGTTGAGTTCGTTATTTATGATATTTAACAAAGCATTCGATGGTATGGACTGGATAAAGGAACCAGGTCCGTTTGCAAGTTTCTTTTGCAGTTTTTGGCTGTCGGAGTATCTCCTCTGGATGTTAACGGCTCTTTCATCGTTCAATCTTGAAGCAATTACCATAGAGCGATATATATCCCTGGTACACCCATTGTTCTACAGGAAACGTGTCTCTAAGAGACTAATTTGGGGAGTCATAGTCATGCTATGGGTGGTGGCGATCGTACATGAAAGCTATGAACTTGGCAGCTCTGTCCTAGAAGGAACAAGGTGTTCTTTGTGGACAAAATGGCCGAGTAAACAATTCCACTCGATCTTCGGCATATATATCCTTGTTGTTGAATTTTTAATGCCAATTTGCATTATGATATTTTGCTACAGTAGAATCGTGTATACAGTTCACAAAGGATCAAAATCACAAATTGGATCATCAATCCATGAGAAACAAATGTCTAAAAGCAGAAACATCGTTATACGTACATTGATTTTTGTTTCGTTTGGATTTTTCATATGTTGGGGACCATTCGCCGCATATATGCTTCTCAAACGTTTACATATCGTTGAAACTTATGCAGGGACGGCCTACCAGATCACTGGTTACATGGCAATTGCTAATTCTAGCATTAATCCAATTATTTATTCATTCAGTCATACCTTGTTTAGAAAAGAGATGAAGAAAATTTTCACAAACGGGGGAAATCAAATCCAATCTACCGATAATGAGATCAATCACTGAGAGAGATAGTCAGTTCTTCTTTATGGTACCATAAAGGAGGGTTATTTGAAATAGTCAGGCAACAACATAATAAATATAACAGATATTGAAATACTAATCTAGTAAAATACAACGCATGTATTGTCATAAAATAGTGAAATCGAAAGCAAATGTATTTAAGTTATCGGATCATTATGGTACCATGAAACGCAATTCAAGGACACATGCAAACTGCCCAAATGCCATCACCTACATAAGGATTATGTACTGGGAGGTTTTGGATACAGGGTTTATCCCAAGGGAAATGTGTGTATCTCCCAAGGGACCGCAGGGACCGAGGGAGATACACATATTTCCCGCGGGATAAACCCTGTATCCAAAACCGACCGTACATAACAGATGTATTTCATACCTACTGGGGTTCTAGGTACATCATACATGTACCTTACAAAGATCCAAAATTCCAAAACAAACTTAAGGTACTAGGCGGTTTTTTGGTCTTAAAGTTTGCGAGATTTTCAAAAAAAAAGTTTGACAATTCTTAAAAAAAATTATATTTGTTTTTTTCAGGAGCGGGACCGGGATGGATACAGCGTGTATCCATCCCGGTCCCTAGATACACTATATATTCCCGCTCGTTATGTACCTGAAACCTCAGTAGGTATGAAATATGTTGACTTCAAATTTAAAGCAGAGACACCTTGTCTTGAACTAGCGATCTCAAAGTTTGGCAATGGAGAAGGCGAGAAGACGTATTTAATTCATCACATAACATTGCTGAAAACACTTGAAATGTATATGGCTTGAGACCTAGCATCCAGCGTGCTCAAAATATAATCTGGTTTAGATTTGTGTACAAAGATGCACCCCGAGTTTTTCAAATTATAACGCGACTTATACTTTGAAAAGAAAAATCCGAATTAGCAATAACCAAAAAATGAAACGTAATTTTGTGAATTTTTCACATGGCCTCACTTCATATTTCTTTCAATTTATACTTCTTACAGATTGACTTTTAATCGAAATGATATATTTATTTGGTAAAAATGTAGAATATGATATGCCTTTAAGGAATCAAAAAATAATAATTCACCTTCCAAACGATTTAATGTTTAATTGATCAATATATATATATATATAAAAATAAGCACCAGTGCCAAAGGGAAAGGACCAAAAGTTGTAATGGAACTTAGCAAGGAAAAGCAAACTCTAAGTGCATATCAGTCAAGAAAAACAAACCCCATATATCCCAAAAGCATGATCTAACGTGAAAAGACACAATGTCCAATACCCCCTTTCCCCCACCATAGATAGAGCATTCAGTCTCAAATGATGTGGGATAGATAAAATCCAGTCTCCAAGTCCATATGCGTTTCAAAATCAAAATCATTTTTCTTCAAAATGTTACAGTCCACACCCGGTTTTAGCGTAGAAAGTCACATAATACGGCTTGCGTGATTCTCAATTAAAAAGTTCCAAATTAATTTTTTTGAATCCCGATAGACAAACTACTTCCTGGACATATATGTTCAACTAATGACAAAATATTGTAGAAAATATGATTTTGCTGTCGAGATATCGCGGTTTTAAAAGTAAGTAGGCATGTAAAAATGCAGTAAAATGCCGTACAGTATCTGACGTCGTATCTATGGCTTCCACTAAGATTTTCGACATCTAAAAAGTCACTCGACTTTTTTGTGATTATGAGTCAAAGAAAGCATTCTTGAGTTTCAAATTGACTTCTGTGGTAACTTGAAACCATCTTCTAATTTACTCCACTTACCTTTTATTGTTTCTCCAAATATATTCTTTGAAAATCGGATTTTAAGGGTGTTAATCAGGGCAATTCTGTTCCATTTTAATCAAGAATCTTGTTGCTACCTAGAAACGAGCAATTGTGATCTTGTTGCTACCTAGGAACGAGCAACTGTGATGTCACGTCACACTCATGTTAATTCTGGAATCACATGGCAGCCATTTTGGAAATTTCAAAAAAGTTCCCAATTAAAAAGGCTAAATGCTGTTTACAAATTGGAAACTATTGCAGAATCAACAAAGGGTTTGTGAAATAATTAGGATATGGTTTCAAAAGTATGCACATGACAATATATGACTACTAAATGCAGGCAGGGACTTGTAATTGCCAAAAAGTTGAGTGTCAAAAAGCATTGGTATCTACCTTAATAAATTTCTCTTAGCATTGTCTAGAATTAGAATTTTCGAATAAATATTGATCGTTTTTATAGATTCAAAATATCACCTTCTTAAACAACTACGTAGTTAGCTCATAAGACACAAGTGATGACTGTTGTGATTTTTTTCAATTATGACGTGGTCATTAACCCTACTATCACACCAAACAAGTTCTCACTACGTTCTCGAAAACGGCCTTAAACTGTGCACGAACGGATTTG